TGTTGCTTTAAAACGGGCGTCAGTGCCACCCCTATATAAAGAATACTAGATCACTCTTCGATTAATGTGAAATATAAAATAAGTAGACTTAAAATAAGACACAAAACTCGAGCGCTTTCGACTATTCTTCTTCAGGATAACAAAGAGTGTTCTCCTGAACAAGAATAGTTTTCGAATAGTCGAAAGCGCTCGAGTTTTGTGTCTTATTTTAAGTCTACTTATTTTATATTTCACATTAATCGAAGAGTGATCTAGCATTCTTTATATAGGGATGGCACTGACGCCCGTTTTAAAGCAACACGAAAGTCATCTGGATTTTTTCTCTACTAGGTTATCAGAAGCTAGATATGCAGAACTACTTGGCATAGTTGCTCTATCTCCGGTGTATATGCCGTTTTTCAGTTATTCAGAGTGTCCCAAAGTCGAAAACTGGCGAATGGACAAAACCGAGATATCTTATTTTCGTTCATCATCATCTTTCTTCAACAGGCCTAGCACCTACCTAGTTCTAGCAATAATTATAATTTTATCACCATTTGAGAGAACATAACAGTCTTCGCGATCTTTGACTACCTATTTTATTATTATTTTATGCAAAACTTATAAAGCTTTATAATACACTCTATAATTTAGTAACTCACGTACGGAATCTTATATATAAAAAACAAAGTAAACAAACAAGATGTGATACATATGCATTAGGTTTTCTCTTCACATTAGCGCTATACGTACCAAGCCATCAATATATCTGTAGTATATAATAAGCATTTCCAAAGAATACTGTTCGAACATTTGTTTTTTAACATACTCAACAAGTAAATTTATAAACGATAGTCTCAATTTTCTTTCTAATAATTGACGTTAAAAGAAAATCCTCTTAGGTTTAGCCTGCTAGTCAGATGGAAAAGTACATTGTCTGAAATACAAAAAGTGCAACAAGTCATTCATTATGTGGAATTGACATATAAAGATACTTTATGTCCACTGTAAAGGGGGAGCTTCCATAACCTGTGAGAATAACGTTTTTTTTTTGTTTTAAATAGCCAGAGTTTAGTTTAATGTATCCTAGTGGAGAGAAATGCTAAGGGGAAACATGATTTCATCTAAATAATGTTTACGTGGGTATGTTGCAGGTTGATTATTATCCATTAATGCTTGAAACATTGTTGTAAAAATATTCTAGAACACCAGTGTTTTACCTTTTCCGCAAAATGTACAGGTCGATTAATTCAGCTTGTAGTCGTAAAAAGAATGCGAGAAAAACTCTTCAATCTAGCGCGAGTTTTATCACGAATATTACATATTAAAATCTGTTTAGTTCTTACTGTAATAGAAACAATAAGCTTAATGTGTAATATACATTATGAATATTAAACTATACATATATATAAATATATATACACACAATTATCAATTATGTATTTATGAGGAGTTTAGTTGAACTGCTACGATAAGGAAAAAACAAAGTCGTAACATCCAATAAATGGCACAAACATGGATAAAGAAATATCAATTATATCATTGCATCTTACATAAGTTCATGTTACTTAATAATTCGAATACATTGATGGCCATAATCTTTTTGGGGGTAAACTTTAAATGATTGTAACCATTAAAAAATACGACTATTATGAAGTCTTAAAAGCTTTCCTCCCTAAATATATACATACACACAAACTCTTTCGTGTGTTTGTATTTTTACGTATCTGCTCGTTTGATAATTTCCGGTATAAATTTTTTCCGAGGAACTTCAGCGATACAAGTCATTTCTTAATTAAAACTAGTTTATTTTTTATCGTTACAATCTTTGTAATACACTTAATTTCCACAGTCTCTTTATAATACACGCTATAAATCACAGTGATTCACATACTTTACTTATGGTGCCTACTGCAATTCTATCCTTTTTTTATCACGCTGGTTTTTCTCGCCAGGCTTATATACTAAAAAAAAAAAAGAAGGGCGTCTGGAACAAACTAGAGTTGCCAGGAAAGTTCACGATACTTCGAGAAACTCCAGCGCGCATGCTCTCAGCGTTGCGTGATTTCCGCTGTCGTAACAGTGTGTTGTTGTTGTTAATTTCTTATTTTTTGTAATTTATAGCATAATCTCGCCAGTGTAAAATTTTCACGAAAGTTGTAAAATAAAATATGAGTTTCCACTCCATAATTTAGGGCAAGTAAGAAATTTTACCTAAATTGCCTTTGCATACAATAAGATAAAATATATAACAGAAAACATAGTTTTGCAATTAATAAAAGTGCCAAAATAAAAGTGGAATTTCGACAATCATAGTTTCCGCCTTGATCATCATGGATTGATATGTAAAGCGGCAAACACATTTAAATAGGTCAATTTGATGTTACGATAGGACGATATTTTGGCAGCATGTTAAGTAAACCTTTGTTGTAGAGACGTTTTAGAGTTTGTGTATTCCATATTCCGCTGCAGTTTTAAAGATTTCACAGAAATGTGCATTTGACACGTTATTTTTTAATTTCTGAGTGGGAGATTTACTGTTTTGATACACTGTTGCGTATTTTAATACACAGTTCACCAGTTTAACTTGTTAAGTTTAACAACTTGACATTCTTTATTTGAGATGTTTTATAAAAGTTAGTCAGTTAAAGTGGCGAAGTTCGCGTTCTTTTCTAAAATCATAACATATACAGTGATGTAAAATAGTGTATTTTTTACCTTTTATTTATTTTAAATTAAGTTTATTGTAAAAGTTTTAGGAGCATTTAACAATGATATTGTTTATTATTTGTATCATTTATTAGATGAAAGTTATATTGATGTGTGATATGTTTTGTTTATTTCCTTAAACAATTAGATGTTAAAGTTCTCCAAATTTATACTTACCGCTTCCCAAATATAATTTTAGCCATTTAGACGGGAACTTGTTTATGAAAATTGCGTTCAGTTGTGAAAATTGATTTCTAATATTTTAGAATTATAATAAACCAAGGAAAGATTCTGTAAACTCTTCAAATATTTTGCCTTAAGGGATCTTCCGGAAATCGAAACTGATTTTTTTTTAATATAAGGTGTGATAACCGATAAATATTAAACATGTTTACCTGTTCTACCGCCCATCGGCTGAAATAACAGTATTTAATTAAATAGAAAGTTAATAATATAACACGAAATTTTCATTTCAAAAATAGTTTTTAAAATACAGTGTATATTAGCCATTTATTAGTTATTAATTAAATGTTTAAAAAGTGTGCCGTCTCAAAATCCATTAAGTTAAATTGAAATACGGCTATTCTAAACGTTTTTATATGTATGTGATGCTTCTTATAAAATCAGATCATATGAATTAAATACATGAATAAAGCAATATATATATGTGTGTGTGTGTGTGTGACTAAAATGTCGTATATACTGAAATAGGTCAAACGACCATTTTTATAAGGAACAAGAATCATGTCCTCAAATGTTTCTATTTATGGAAATACTTTTCTACAAGTATTTTTGTGATTGTTATTCAAGTTGTCATAAAATATGAATAATATCGTCAAAGATTTTCTTTGTTTGACTGAATCATTTTAGTCATTATGTGCATCTCACGTGATTTTGTTCTTCTGTCTCTAACCAGCGTTATCATTTTGAACAATTTCAATGATTTGTATTTATGGCGGATTTATCTAAATAAAGCTCGATTTCGTGGAAAACAAATTTTTAAGCTCCTGTTAATACAACAATTTTTTGAGTTTATTGGTGAACTTAAGTCGTCTATCTGCATAACATGTATTCTACACTTTTGTTGAAATATGTCATGGTGTTGTTTGAATAATAATAAAATAGTATCTACATCTTTGAAACTTATTAACGTAAATTTAGATAAGTGCATACAAAAATAGTTAAAAATATCAGCTAGTTGTGAGATTTCACTGGTGTGTGAAATACTTTACTGGTATGGATTTTCTTCCATTCTAAAACTAAATCCGACTTTCGAATTTGTTACATATAGCCAGAACTGATTTTAAGTTCCAGGAAGAGATACTGCCGTCCCTTTTCACTTCTGTTGTTCATGTTACATTCTTAGAAATTGATAATACTAGTGTGTGCTTCGTTTCAAACAATATTTGCTTTGTTTCAGAGGAGCACAAAGTGGACAAGTTTCCAGGAAACCAAACTCACAGTGATCATTTCAAGCTTCTGGAGAGGGATGGAAACTATCTTCTTGTTGGAACCAAGTAAGTATTCTGTTATTTTCTATACTGTGGTGTGGTGATTAGAAGCGATAACTAAACTTTGAGTAGCTGAGATTTTACATTGTTCTGTGTTATGCATTACTTCAAAACTGCAGTGGAGATGTACCAGGGAGAAAGCATGATGTGGAAGCAAAGGAAGATATTTTATAATATGCCAATCATACTCTATCTTCCATACGAGGCCATTCGCCCAATACCAGGGCCATTAGTCCGTCTGGGATACGACAGACACAATAGTAGTCTGTCTATTTGGGAAATATCAATTCTTATGAACAACGACTGTTATGGTGTGAACTTGATTAAGCAAGTAAACTGTGATTATTATCAGTTGTATTTAAATCATTTACATATACATTATTTTGAGTAATAATGAATAAAACAATATTATATTTTAATATCTTAACACCTGTTATTTGTTTTTATTATATTTTTTGTTTTTAATTCATTTTACATTCTGACCAAAGCAGGCTACTTATATTAGAATTTAAAATTTACCTAATAAAGAGCATAGCAAATTAAATATACTATTCTGTCTATCTTAATCATAATAATTAGAATGTATTGTTTCATCAGTTGGACACCCTTGATATTAACGGTATCTTTTGGAAATTTGTTATATAAGTGTTTGCAGTTTTCTTTCATGTAAACATTTATTTTTAACAATACTGCAGTCATGATGCTTTCTTAAATTTACCATGTTGAATATATTATCTTCGACGTATTGCGCACAAAATAATCACTATACAGGGATAGTATTTTCTTTCTTAGTACGGTTTACAGATAAAGTCCAGATTTGGTTGCAGAACGCTTCTACCACTTAATCACCACTGCGAATTTACAAAATGGTATTTTTCTATTCATCATCAGATTTAAAAGTACAGATAATAATCACTGTTATAAAATTGTCTTCATAGATAGTGTGTAGGTGACAATAACCCAACACATACATAATGCATATTTCACACTCTTATCCATCTTCGTGTTTTAAAGCTATGTTTACGTACACAGAGAAATTGAAACTTTTTTAAAACAAGAGATCAACCACATTCAACCACCCAATTTACTGTTCTTAATTAAATCAAGTCAAATACACATTAAAATGCACAATTTGAAGTTTTGTTGTTGATCATACTGTTGGCAGGCCATCTTATCGTCAAGTGTTTCACACCAGAGCCATACATGTACATGTATAAAATGCACAGAACTTTATAGTAAATATAGTTGAATGTCCATGCATTAGTTGGTTTTATTGGCACATACTGGATATTCTTCAGTCTAAGATAGTTAATCAGTTGACGACTAGGCTTTTATTTTCGCAAGCTGACAGTGGCTATTGGAAGCTAACTTAAAGTAAGTGTCGGGCGTGGCTTTGTAGTTAGCGATCCGGACTTTGAACGTGAGGGTCCATGGGTCATGAACGAAAGTGCGTTAGAAGAATGACTGTCGATCAGACAAGTGTAACCCAAGCCTTTATGATAAGTGCTGTTAACTAGCTGTCTTCTCTTTTCTAGTCTATCAAAAACTAGAGACGGGTATTACAGATAAGCATTGTGTAACTTTCTACGAATTTCCAAAATAGACAAAAAAACATCCAAAAAATTTGAAAAACAAAAATTCAAAACCAGTTTGATTTTGCATTGTGAAAACTCCCTATTTTACAGTAAATGTGCTTGTACATGATGCCAGTAGTGTGGTCGATAACCATGAAGGTTTTGCTACAACAATGTAGAATGTATGAATTGTGTCAAAAATTTATTTTCTGTTTCCTCATCGCGACGTGATGGGGAATTTTTAGTTCGCGGTATAATATAGGCCTCTTTGAACGGGTAATGCTTCCGAGCACCCAAAAGGGCAGTACGTTATTAAAACAAAACAACTTTGTGGAACAGTTAAAAATGATGTACTTGGGTTTCCTTCCTAATCAAATTAATGTATTTAACCTCTAAGGTTTATCTAGTCTTGGGAGCGGTTAATATTGTGTGAACATTCTCTTCCTTTCTTTAAATATAATTTGTCGGCACATTATTACTGTAATTCTCAACACACTGTTTTATGTTGAATAATAGCTATTTCAAGAATGGTATATTATATAAAGTATGATCTGAATCATCCAGTGGTTTTATAAGGAAGACTTTTCGAAGGTCTTAGAACTGTTTATTAATACAACATCGCATATAGTGAAAAACCTTGATGCATTTGTGTCGTGTCTACCGTATTATTGAACGTTAACTAATGACTTTATGAACCTCTTCTACCACGCGAAGAGATGGAAAGTTCAACAAATACTTTGCCGATTCTAAAAATGTATACATTCTTCTTTACTTTCAACCATAACAATATGTCAACCAGATCACCCGCTATTATCCAGTGGCGATAAGGCCTTTCTTCCAATACCAGAGCGAAACAGGCCGACTGGGACAAGACAGACGTAGTAGTGGTTGAGACGCTATTTATATTATCAAACTGCATGAACAACGACTGTTATGGTGTGAACTACACCAAGAAATAATAAGATTCTTGTAAGATTGAACCGTATTTACTTAAAACGTAATTTCCAGTTGTGTCTTTCAATTTTCTCCAGTCTTCCTTTTAGCTTTTATTGAATAATGGCAAAGTGAAAACAAATATAAAAACTATTACATATTTTTTTTAACTAAATGTGAAAATGGGTTACCTGTGATATTATAATAGAAATATAGAATATAGTTTTTTTTCGGTTTAGTATTATTGCATTATTTGGTCTGTTGTAATGAATGTTTTATATAATATATAGATTAGTCTTGTTTGGTTTGTTGTAATGAATGTTTTATATAATATATCGATTAGTCTTGTCTGTTTTGTTGTAATGAACGTTTTATATAATATATAGATAAGTCTTGTTTGGTTTGTTGTAATGAATGTTTTATATAATATATAGATTAGTCTTGTTTGGTTTGTTGTAATGAATGTTTTATATAATATATAGATTAGTCTTGTCTGTTTTGTTGTAATGAACGTTTTATATAATACATAGATTAGTCTTGTTTGGTTTGTTGTAATGAATGTTTTATATAATATATAGATTAGTCTTGTTTGGTTTGTTATAATGAACGTTTTATATAATATATAGATAAGTCTTGTCTGTTTTGTTGTAATGAATGTTTTAGATAATATATAGATTAGTCTTGTCTGTTTTGTTGTAATGAATGTTTTATATAATATATAGATTAGTCTTGTCTGTTTTGTTGTAATAAATGTTTTATATAATATATAGATTAGTATTGTTTGGTTTGTTATAATGAATGTTTTATATAATATATAGATTAGTATTGTCTGGTTTGTTGTAATGAATGTTTTATATAATATATAGATTACTCTTGTTTTGTTTGTTATAGTGAATGTTTTATATAATATATAGATTAGTATTGTTTGGTTTGTTATAATGAACGTTTTATATAATATATCGATTAGTATTGTCTGGTTTGTTGTAATGAATGTTTTATATAATATATAGATTAGTCTTGTTTTGTTTGTTATAATGAATGTTTTATATAATATATAGATTAGTCTTGTTTGTTTGTTATAATGAATGTTTTATATAATATATAGATTAGTCTTGTTTTGTTTCTTATAGTGAATGTTTTATATAATATATAGATTAGTCTTGTTTTGTTTGTTATAAATGTAGGTGTTGCCAGGATATGAATGCAGGGTATGAATCGAATGTTTGTATAAGTAAGCTAAATTGTATCACTGCTCATGTAAACTATTAACTTGTTCGGTCATTCATATTTGAAGAAGCAATCGTTTGAAACACTCGACAAGATTCTGCAAGACGTGTTCCTAACCATTTATTAATATTAACACCAGTTAATTTCTCCAATCTGGATCTCGTCCTTCTCGTGCCATAGAACAGACTAAGCTTAACACCTGAAAATGACATTTATGAACCTTGAAGATAAATGAAAAGGCATTCTGTGGGAAGGGTCTGACATTGTGATGATTTTGTCTCAACCTACTACGGCCCTAAGAATCATGAAAAAAAAAGAAATTAGCATTCTAGTTGATGCCATGGTAACTGTGATGTAGGAAGAGACAATGCTAGGAAACAAGAGAAATAACTACTGATTTCATTTGTAGACAAACTGTTTTTGATAAATATCATGTATTTTACTATTGTCACTCATATGATGCCTATTCAAGTGCAAAATATGCATGTAGTTAAGATTTTGATATGCATGAAGTTATGACATCAGAAACAAAATCATTTTTGTGGCTGCACTACAACCACAATTTCAAGGTATTGGATTAATGTAGCTTATAACATTAAGTACTTTTAAAGTTTTAGTCTCCTGTGTAAAGATGAAGGTGTTTAATGTAAGAAACATCTACAACGTATAATTTTCTACATTTTAACCATTACCAAATTTAATGAACTCTCTCAAGGATGCTAACATCAACAGACTGAAAGAAAAAAGAGAGAGAGAGGGAGAATTTTATGATTTTCTTCTTTTTTTTTCAGAAATATTGTGTACAATATCAGCTTAGCAACTCTACAGGAAAAAAAGGTAAGACTTATATATCCAGTTGGAATTACACAAATTTCATTGTTTTCAGATACTTTTAGAACAAATACAGCAAAGGAAAGAGTTATATTACTAAGGTATTGATTAAGCATACATTTGTGGCAAATTAGTACAAGATATTAGGTTATTTTCTCATAAAAAAATCATTATTGAAAAAAAAGCTATTTAATTTTATTACATGTTTTATATTAATTACAAAAAAGTCTGAACAAACTGCTTTATAGAATGTACTTTTATCTTGGTGCTGAGCACAATTTTATAAATGTTGTTGAAAAGCAATACCTCTCCTCTTATATAAGCTTTTCTTGCAGCATTTAAGGCCTTTCATGTCAGAATCGTTCATTTTCTTTTATCATACGCTGTACATTGGCATGCTTCTTTTTTTATCTTTCCTTTTCATTCATGAATGCATCCAAAGAAAACGTGTTTTTATACATGTTAGGTTTAGAAGCCAAATTTTCGTAGTTGTGGCTATATGGAATGCATCCTTTTCCATCTATTCTTTTGTGGTAATTTGGTTTCAATTTGACTTCTTGTTCATTAGCTGGATTACTAAAGAGTATTAGTATATTGTACTAATCCATTTGTAACAAAAGAATATCATCGAATCTTAGTCATTGTTTTGTGATTGTATAAATATTACCACAATGAGCATAATATTCTATCATAGGGAAGAAAGTTTTACAAGAGTTATAGATTACATAATGCTGTATGTAGAGTTAATACCCTTTTAACCAAATATTTCATTAACAATTATGATTAAACCTTGTAATCCCAGTTATGCATTTTTAATAGTAAGTATCTGTGACCATTGCTGTCAAAGAAAACTTGAATTAATATCAATCCTGTTATAGATTTAACACTGTTTTATTCTTATAGCAGAAAAAGCAAAACGAGTTGAGAGTTCTTGCATCAGTACAGTTGAAAAATTATACATTGTTGTACAAATAACTAGTTAACTTTTGTATATTTAGTTATTTTATTTTGACATGCTTTAGTAATTAAGAGTATCATTGTTACTTTAGTGCCATATCTCATTCTATAGTCTGTGGTAGATACAGACTGTTTAATTTATCAAATTATTAGACATATCTAGTACATGAAAGAAAATGTAAAGTGATTCCACAGAATAGAAAAAAAATGTTTGTTGATCAGGGTTTTATTTTAGAACCCATGTTTAAAAAGAAAATTTGGAACTTAACCATTTGATTTGCATAAGAATCAAAGTTCAACCATCCTTTATCATAACTGTTATACTGGTCTCTTGTCAATGGGAAAAGTTTCCTCTAAACCACTAGGTTCAGTATTCAATCATTACATTTCTGACCATAAACGTGCAGAATCACAGGGGTACCAGGAAGCAAGTTTTAGGAAGAGCTATAAGCCACAAATGTTTAGTTATTACAGTATGTTTTCTACCACCTGAGCTGCTTTGAGTCAGGCATAAACCAGTTGTCTTCTTACACCTTAATCTTCACAATATCAGTGACATGTACACTGAAGTAGTACATTGCAACTTGTGAGACATCTTTTGTCATTTGATCGATCATACTTGGACCAATAGTTTTTACATGATAGCAAATTGAAATAATCTGTGTGTTTTATGGATAAAACATTTTGAGACATCTAGTTACTCAGTGAACTGTATCTTTACATTTCAGTTCATTCCACCTAGAAAATTACTGAAATACACCATTGGTCTTAAAAATCTGTAAATAAGATAAAACTTGGTCAATAAAGATTTCAGTCAAATGACCCATCCTCTCATTTTTTTTACTTTTAGCAACTTTTATACTATTTGATTGTTTGCATGTGCAGGTTGCAATTAGTTTGCTGCTGTGCTAATATATTATTACCCTGTTTATAGAATAAATCTAACTGTATAAAATTAATTATGAAGCACATCTTTCACATGAAAGTATAGTATTGATTTCTAATATTTGTACATTTGACATTGTGTAAAAGTTGAAAGTTTATACTTATAAGAAACATTTAATGCTTGGTTAGATTATCTAAAGGATTTTTAAAGTAAAATATTGTCCATTGCTATTGGCAGGCAGCCAAATTTGTCACTCACTTAAAACTATTAAATAAATTTATGAAAATACGTTAGTCTTACTTCATCCTTTTAGTGAGTTATATATATATATGTGTATGTATGTGTGTGTGTGTGTGTGTCTATATATATAAAAAGAGAGAGAGCAATAAATAAGCCATGATTTATTAGTTTCAAAAACCATTTAATGTAATATCCATTTTTTTTTTACAAGAGTCTAATATAATAATAAAGAATCATGAGCCTTTGAGCTTTCATGAAATTAAATAATATCTGTCTGTTCAGTGCTTTTTTTAATCTTTCTACTGTTTCAGGTAATGATCAATTTAGTAAAATGAAGTCTTTTGATAATTATATCAACTTATTGCCCCCCCCCCCCCCAACAGACACACTTTTAACATAAAATGAACAGCCCATAGTATAACACCAAATTGTTTTCTTGGCTTACTGCCAATAACAACCATTCCTGAACCAATTTGAGATGTATGCCTCTTAACAATCCATAAAGCACAGTAATTTACAGCTACTTGTAAATAATTTAGATTTTTTGATTGTTTAAAACAGAGCAATAATTAAACATTTAATCCTTTCACTGCCACATTTGTAGATGAACAACTCTTTCCATACCAGGTTTATCTTTAGATATACAATAGGAAATAAAAACATTGTAAAATTGAATGCTTAAAAGAAACTATGTTTTCTCCTAGAAATACTTTTATGTTAACTTTCACTGCCATGTTTATATATAACAATAATGTATAAAAAGATAAAAAGGGAGAGGAATACCTTTTGTTTATGGTGGCTCAAAATTTAAAATTTGCATAGCAGTGCTTTAGAGGGGGGACATATATGTCAGTGAAAAAGTTGGAGTTGAACTGTATGTGCTCATAGGGAATGCTAGCACACTCTTTTGAGATATATAAGATGTTTGTGTGTCTTTGTAACACACTGTGTGTATGTTGTGTTATAGAAAATTTAATAAAGTTTTTTTTATTTGGTGTAAGGATATAGTGCCATCTATGAATATAGTTAGTTATGCCAAAGTTAATAAATGCTCAATAACAGCAATAATAGGAGTTGAGGTGGTTGCTAACCTCCCATTAACATGTCCCTTGTTTCAAACTATCATCCCACAAAGATTGGTTAAGATTGGCCCAGCAACCTAGGAGTAGTTAGGAAATGGAAAAACAGAGAAACACACACAGATCTTTGTAATATATATATATATATAGAGAGAGTGACAGAGAGAGAGAGAGAGACAGATAGATAAGCATTTTCAACATTAAGAGCCACCTTAGGACCACAGAAATAAAAAAATTTCCTAAGATGTTTATGTATCACTTAGTTTTATTTGAATCTTGATTGCAGGGTCTTCAACAATGCACAAGTAAACACTTACTTGCTAACAAGAAAAATACATTTTCTGTTATAGAGGCTTGAATGGTTCTCTTCAGAAGATGATATCAAAGTGTGTAGAGTCAAGGGGAAGTCTGAGGTAAGTGAATACATCAAACAGTAACTTTATTTGGATTAAGGAAGTTGTGATTTTGCTATTTGATCTGCTTGAAGTAGTAACATTGTTGGTTTTTTACAGTATATATTAATTATCATTTTCAGATTGAAATTTTTTTTGGCATATTGTATATTTTAGAAATACAACTTAGTTTTATGCTCTGAAACTCATAGATTATAATGATAAATTGATTAAGATTTACTTTCTTGTTTAATGTGTCGTATTGTCTGACTATCCATCCATCCTTATTTACTTTTTTGCCATTCAGCAAGTTACATTTTGTCAAATTTGAATCTTGACTTTCTCTTAAATCTTTCAGGATGAATGCCAGAATTATATTAGAGTTCTTGCTCTGAAATCTGAGAGTGTGCTTTTTGTATGTGGGACAAATGCATACAAGCCAGTATGTCGAGATTATAATCAAACAGTAAGTTATATACATTATTATAAATCAGCATGTTTTTAATACTTTAAAGATAAACATTTCATATGTTTGTTTTCCTATGTAAAGTTATATAATCAACTTAAGTTTTTAAAATTGTTATAAATATTTAAGCTTATATGGAATGTTAATTGTATTTTTAGGAATGATTTACATAGTCATATGTTGTGCAGATGTGAGTTATGGCACCATAAGTGACAGTTTAGGACATATATATTTGTTTTACAACAAATTGTCAAACATTTTGTAACACAGTGCTTCTATGGAAAGACTTTTGGCTGGAGGGATGTAAAAGTATTTCCAAACATAAATATTAATACATCAGTATTGTTATTTAAATCTGAAGGACACAAAGAAAGTGGGGGGAAAACTTGCAGAGCATTTGAGACAACAATGGGTTCTGAGACCTTATCCAAGGCCAGTCCACATAAATGCTTTTGTTAACAACATGAAACTTATAATTAACAAGATGGGAAACAAATATTTGATATAGATGTAGGTTCATGAGTGAAAAGTTTACAAGTTTCTAACCACATCTCGCTCTTCTTCACAGAAGCTTTTTGACAGTAGAAATTGCTGCATTGGACAATGGTGTATAATAATGGCAATCAGTTTGAGTATAATGGAAGTACTCTTTCCAAGGGCATCATATGACCTGAAACATCATTCTTATAAAGTACAATTAACTCTTCATAACAAGAACATTTAGTTGAATAATATTTTGTCTGTTGTAATTTTTTGTAAAGTTTCTTGTAATATTTTTTTTTGCTTCTTCAACTCTAAATAAATATTGTACAACATTATTTGTCTTTTTAAAATGCTAGACATCACACTTCTGTTAGTAGGTCTAATTCCTTTATTTATCATCAGTATTAAATTTCTTATATATTTAAGTTTGCTTGGAAATTAATTTCTTGTAGAATCTCTCATCAGTTATCTAATGAAAAGGCTTAACTAATAAAGATGAAAAGCAAAATAATAATCTGAAAATAATTTATTTGTTCATGCATGGTTTTGTTGAGCATAAATGACCATTTTTTTAATGTTTCCTTTCAGAATAAAGGATTTTTATTGGACATTGTCATAGATTAATTAACATTTGTTCAAAATGCTAAACTATTCCGGTTTCATTCAAGTTTTAACTGTAGCGTTCTGCATGATGCTTGTTTTAATGTCTAAATTTAGCTTAAGGCTTAAAAATTGTATTTTACATTACCTATCCAAATTGAGAATAAATCTGTAAATAACTTTTATATTAGAATATCAGATTTTAACAATAGAATAATTAAAAGTTTTATTAATTTAGTTTGTGAAATAAACAATTTTTTCATCCAGAATTAGTAAAAAATCTTAAACTGACAAAATAATGATGTTAATTGTGTATACAGGAGAAACCACTAAAAAAATGCAATTAGGAGTTTTGTTTAGCCTTTTTTTTTGTTGTTGTTGTTGGATCAAAAATAGTAAAATTATTAAATTGCCCCAGTATCTATATATCTTAGCGTGAGTTTGATATGTACAGTTTGTTATTATACACAGCTCTTTTAACTTTTACTTGGAGAAACACCTGACAAAGACAAATTACGTGGCACAGTGATCCTACCTTCTACATTGTTTTTTTTTTTTAACCTAACCTCACCGGGCAGCTGTAGAAATTTAAATTTAAAGACCTTAGCTGTGAAAAAATAGAAATGAAGAAACAACATTTTTCGTAGGAGTAGGTTCAAAATAACCTGGCATGTTTTTTTTTAATTTATTTTGATTTGTCTATGGTTTGAAAATATGTGATGCACTAAACATCAGATTATTTAGCAAATGTTAAAAGTGTGTTATTGTAATTTAAAATCTTGCAGGTATGTTACAATATTTCTCCATGTGGGAAAATAAATGTCCCAGTTTTTCACTCTTGAAATCTGGTAATCCTAGTTTTGTAAAGCAATCAGTCTGATTTCGGTAGCTGGTTTATGTGTTGGGAAACATTGCTGTTGAGAATACTGAACAGTGTCAATTGAGAAAAAACAAAAATAAACAGAAAAGTAATGTAATATAAACTTGAGAAACCTTGGGAAATTATTGACAGAAATGTAAAGCTTACTAAGATTTTGGATAATGTAGTGCCATCCCATAGTGGATATCACAGTAAACCATTAAACTTTGTACATATATTTACAGCTCATGAAGTAAGTGGAGTTGAGAAACTTTTTTTGAACTTTTCTATGTAGATGATATGGAATGTATTGTAAGTAATAATTGTTTAACTTTTTATTACACATAACTGCATAAATACACATTCTTGTATTTAGATGTATGTTCATGTTTTCAGAATTATTTTTAAACAAGAATAAAGTCACAGAATGTTTAAGTATGATCAGTAACCATTAGTTTAAGTGTTTATACACTACCTAACGTAAAACTTAAGTGAACAAAAAACAAAAGAATGCCATTCCACATACACCAACTCAGTATTGAACAGTTTAGACAAGATTAATGGAGCATGACAGGAGAGACAAGTGACTCAGCTCTGTGTGACTTACTGAATACACTCAGGAAATTTAGCTTGGTATGGGTAACTATGGAAACACAAAAGGGGTCCTGATCAATAGGATTGTAGGAAGAAAATGGAAGAAGCAAGCATATGTTGATGACTGAATAAGCTCACACACTTTCTTCTTGCAGAGTTATTGCAATGCTTGGCTCTTCATGAAAGCTTCATATATCAGATAAACTTTCAGTAATATGTTATGTTTTAAGTTTTCTCATTTTTATGTTTATCAGCTATTTCTTTTTTCTTGACAAGTATTTATTCAATAATTATTCAGAACTTAGAATGTACCTCATGCACAATTAAGCTCTTTTCTCTAATAATTATTCACAACCCATAACATACATCATGAAAACCCAAGCTTCTCTTTCCAGGAATTATTCATAACTTATAATGTACTTCATGGAAAGTTAGGCTTCCCTCCTCCAGTAATATTCTTAACTCCTAATGTACTTCATGGAAAGCTAGGCTTCCCTCTTCCAGTAATATTCTTAACTCCTAACGTACTTCATAGAAAGCTAGGCTTCTTTTTTCCACTAATTATTCATATCTCATAATGTACCTTATGAAAAGCTAAACTTCTTTTTTGATTAATTATCCATAACTCAGATTGTATCTCATGAAAAGTTAAGTTCCTTTTTACATGATTCTTCAGGAGAATGAGTACAAATATGTGGAGGAACACTCTGGAGAAGGTCTTTGCCCATATGATCCCAATCACAACAGTACAGCAGTCTTTGCAGGTAATTATCATATATTTAAGTGAATGGTTGTCACTTTGTATGATCTTACATTTGTAATAGGATTTAGGAATCAAGAAAGTTACAAATTTATTTTGATGTATCTATAAAGCCTTGAGTAATTTAATAGTTCTAAGCATAAACTAATGTTGAAAAGGTCTGTGACTATTTTCATTGCCATGCTATAGCACCAGTAATGTAGAAATCTTTTTACTATTATTATATAATCTAAGGAGGGCCAGAATTTATAACTTGGGAGATTTAAGGAAATGGGATTTTCCTCTTCCAATATAACTTTTTTTTTTTTAATGATATGAACCATGATTTAAAGTAACATATAGTGAATTCATGAGATCTCAAATGAATCAAACTGGTCTAAATAATGTGAAATTAAGAAGTGTTGAGAGTGAATTTCTGCTGCCATTTTATGTCAGTGTTTTAGCTGTTATTAACAATTAGTAGCTAATAAGGGATCTTGCTTTAAGAAGAAGCAAATAAATAAAGGGTGGGGTTATTGTGGGAACTTTCATCCATTGTATTCATTTACTTTAAAGACTTACTTTTACTGGAATTTTTTTGTGACTGTGCAAACACTTAGAAAGAAATTATAATATTGTTTCTGGCTGGATGAATTTTTTAATTTTCATTAAGTAGTTTAACATGGTATATCTTGATGTATATATGTATATATAGAGATGCATATATTGAAAGAAGAATGTGTCTGGGTCTCTGGAATTGAAGTGTGTAATCTGCTTTATATCATTTATGAATTAATCTTGGCAATATCATGATCTGTAATGAAGAAATCAAAAGTACAGAAAGCTAAGTACAGTTGTAGGTACTACTATTTTTGCTTTGATTCAGCACAGTATGGGAGAATGTGTGGAAGGATTTAAAATTATTATAAACAGTCATTTTTCCAAAAATAACTTTGCAGTAAGATTTTTTAATTCAAGCATATTTAGTTTACTATGTAAACATTTAATCAAAATACTTAAGTAATAGCAGAATTTTATATCAGCACATTATCATAAGTGAAAGATATTACATAAGAAACATTAGTTTTATGTTTCCTGATTTATGAGGTTTAAGTAAGAGCTTTGGTAGTTTTATGTAAAAGATTTTAGGAAAATTAAGAAAGTAGCAGCTTCAAAACTTCATTTGGATAACCTTCACATGACAGTGATTGTAATGTAGGCTAAAAAACTTTCATTTCTCTTTTGTGATATCTCAAATAAACTTGTATTTTGTTTCTTATGATTTATTTTTATATGATAAAAGGTTAACTCAATTGAAAGAAAAATTCTAATGATTAAAAATTTGCCAGGACACGCTCAAGTTGGTTTCAGCTTTCTCTCTTTTAAAACATTTTACAGTAGTTTTAAAGTATGTCAAGTATTTAGTGCTAAGTATTTTATATATCCAATGAATAATTTGTAAATATAACAAAACTGGTAATATTTATATTACTAGAAAATTAAACACATATTTTTGGGTTGGAATATAGTACTGAAGGAAAGGCTTCCTGGTATGATTTTTTGTGAACGAAAGATAGGTTTAAATGTCTGTGCTTATACATTATTAGTTAAAGAAATGATATAAAAATATGTTTAATCAAATCTAATAATACCAGTATTTATTAAAGCTGTAGAGTATTATCAATATTCCAGATAAAATGTTATTGTTTTGCACCATAAAGTTAGTCAAAATACAATAAAATTATTTCTTGTAATGTTAATAACCAGTTTTGTAAACTAATGTTATCCTTACACATTGAGTTAGCTGTACCATACCTGACAAGTAAATACTGTATTATGGTATTAAAGTAATGATCCTATTATAAAAATCCATTATTATGTTATGTATTACAAAATTAGAATTTGGTTTATCTAGCTAAAAATATATTAATTTTCTAAAATGCTTAATACTCTTAAAAAGTAGAGGATCTGTGAATAAGTTGAATAATCACTGGGACTTGAATCTGTAAATCAAATTTAAAGCAATGACTTGAACATCCATTCTAAAACATAGAAAATATTTATATGGTGGGCACATTATGGTCTTGAAAAACCCTAAGGAACTGAATAAAGAATGTAGTGCTAAAAATATAATAGGCTTTCTACTAATGTATTGACAAGTAAAAGGAAATAGAAAATGTTGCTTCATTATCATTATTTTTGCTACATTATCTAAATGAATAATTTTAAGAAGATTGCAGAAGTTTACTTTCAATATTTCTGCATTCACTATTATTCAAACAGCATGTAAAATTGTAATGAGGGCAAAATCACGGTTGGATGTGGGGGCATGAGTAAATAGCACATATAAATGATATTAAATGTAAAATATTTGAAATCAAAAACTGAATTTAAACAGGTTAAATTAATAGGGAGTGAAAGTAAACATTCTGAGAGTAGATTTATAGTGACTGGTTGCTTTATTTTGTTATTGCTTCTGGGAACAAGGACCTATTAACCACAGGACAGGTAGTGTCAGATGTTGTCAGCTTGATCTACAGTAAAAGCACCTCTGTCTTGTGTTGTGGTTGAAGCTCGTAAATGAAAGTCAGCTTCACTGCATGTTCCTTATTGAAGTTTTGAATACAAGACAAACTACTTGAGCACGATTGTAGAGTTCAACAGGGGTGCTTTGTTGGTCTGTATGGTAGCATGCTTTATGAAGGATTTGTCTTCTGACTGTGGACTGTTTGTATTGTTGTGTCTCTCTGGCACTCATGCTGTACCACTGCACTCTTTTCTTTTAACTATGCACTCTTTCTTTCTTATCTATTTGTAATGGTCACTTTTGCTTGTGAATTGTGTTTGTTTTGACTATAGTGATAAATATTTATTATATTTGTGAAGAAGTTTTATCTAATAAAAAATCCATTGTGATATTCAATAGTGTTTGAAGTTGAAAAAAAAATGTTTGAAACAGAAATTTGACTTGTGTAGTTAAAGCCTTAGATAATTTAAATGGTAATTGAGAATATTGTACTTTAAATTTTTAAATTTATGTGGAATAATATATAGAATTGGTTGTAAGGTAAATTTTTAATTAGTTTCAAAGAAAAACAGTGCAGTAAAGAATGTTTTCTTTGTGTCATACATAGATGAAAAAAATGATAATTTGAAATTGTGTGTCTTTTGGCAGATGGTGACTTATATGTGGCTACAGTTGCCCAGTTCTCTGGGGCTGATCCTTTAATTTATCGCAAACCACTGCGGACAGAACAGTTCAACTTAAAACATCTAAACTGTAAGAACTCTCTTTCTCTTTGTATGTAGTTCAAATTGAATAATAACTGTTAAACTCCTGTACTTATAATACTGTGTCCAGAAGTTTTACTTATAAAGTATTAAAAAATGGTAGTTTGAAGATAATTATAATTAAAAATACAGAAATAATAATTAGTCCACTACAAACAAATATGCTGTTAGTATTTTTCAGATAATAACTAGCAATAGAAAACTTTTAAACAATTACTGTTTTTATTCACATACCACCTACAAAATCCTAAAAACTTTTACATGTAATTGAATAGTTCAGCAGTTCAAAGGCATGAAATGTAAGATTTTAAACAAAATATGGTTGTTAGCTTTAGAAGTATTTTAAGAAGTGTTTCTAGTATATAATAATTCTGAATTTGAATTTATCTTTCTATAGCACCAAATTTTGTAAGTTCTCTTCATCATGAAGATTATGTATACTTTTTCTTCAGAGAAACAGCTGTTGAGTATATCAACTGTGGCAAGGTTAGTTAAATATTTAAAGGGCTTGGTATTTCATCCATGAAGTTGGAGTCTGAAATAAGCAACTAATCTACAGAGAAAATAAAATGTTACAACCCACACCAATAAATGTGTTATATGTCCTCTTGGGACATGTCCTGATTTTAATTTTATTCCTTGTTCCTTTTTTTTTCGATTGTTTTCATTTATTATGCATAAATGATTTTTTTTAATGTTTGACAGTTATCCAGTAAGATATAGATTAATTTATAACTTAGTTTTAATTAATTTATAACCAACAATTTTCAACATTTAAAATATTTAACACTATAATCATTGATGGAGACAACGTGGACCCCATTAACTTTTTAAAATTATTTTTCTAAATTATTTATGCATCAAATTGCTTTTGAATCTGTGATTTTGTTACATGGTTCCTATTAACATATGAATCACACACAAAAAAGTGTAAACACAAATGTTATCAATATTGCAAGCAATCTCACCACTTGCTGTTGCAATCCCCTATGTATGTTACATACTAAAAAATAGTGATTTCACATAATTTATTTTTGGGAGTTCTTTATACTGGTTGTTATAATAGGAAGAAACTTAAATTTACTCAATCTGATGTAATATGTAAATCCCACCAGTAGTGCAAGTTATAAAAGCAAGTTGGTAATTTGTGGAATAAAAAGTATTTAAATGTTATTTAAGTATTCATACCTAGGCATTAAATGAAAATTTTGTAGAAGTGGTGTATATTTTGTATTCAATTACTTTGTAACATTTAGGCAATTACCACCATGATTGCTTATTCTGTGATGTTACCACAAGCATGGGGATATTTATATCTGTTTTAGCTAAAGCTAACACTTTCTGTAGTGTTTGGCATAAAGAACGTTTTTCTTAACTCTGTTTTTATAAATGGAGTTGTATATGTTTGAGATGAATTTAAAGTGCTTTATAACAGATACTTGAACCTCATGACGGTAAACAGCTGCACACTGATTGATTTATACAAAATTTCTTAGAATCTCAAGTCACTGATTATTTGCATTAGTTATTTATAAAGTCTGTGCTATCCTAACTACCACTAGTGAACTAGAAACAGTTTAGAAAAAACAAAATCAGAATAGGAAGTAGTGAAATGGATTTAAGATCATACAGAAAATGTACAAAGTAAAGGCTGACATATCTCTTGAATCTTTAAAATAGACATATGTTCTTAGTTTCTGTATAACTGTACATAAAAGATAAAATGTTTGTTTTGTGCAAGAGATTATAATGATGTATAAAATCCACATTTTTTCATAAAACAATTGGTTATGTTATTTCCAGACTGTTTATTCCCGTGTTGCTCGTGTCTGCACTAAAGACAAAGGAGGACCCCACAAATACCGCAATCGATGGACATCCTTTCTGAAAGCCAGGCTTAATTGTTCAGTCTCTGGAGAGTTTCCTTTCTACTTTGATGAAATTCGTTAGTATTTCTTATAATAAACAAAAATTCCTTTAAAATTATGCTCTCTACAATTACATAATGTTTTGTTTCTTGGTTTTTAGGAACTGTTTTGGCATAGTCAACACTATGGAAATGTTTTTTATCATTTATGTGACAAATGTCTTCTAATATTGTAGTGTATCCTATTAATCATTTTATTAAAGATCACAAGAGCTTTAGGATTTTTCCTTTCCCATTCTTATTTATACGCTTTTTTCTTTCATTTTTAAAATTCAAGCCAGGTTTCACTTCTCTCATTGCCAGATTATTATTGCATGGCTGAAAAGTGAATCATTTCGTGCATTTTTTTTTCAAAAAGAAATAATATTATTTATTGTTTTTTAGCCAGTGCCAAGATTGAAATAGATATAAGAGTTTTTGTGATTTATGTGTGGAAATCATTAGAAAAAACTAATTGAAACAAAAAGTTCAAAATTTATAGTCTATAACAGTGAAGAATCTGCTACTGGTTTAACATCACTTAATAACTTGGGTGAAATTGAAGTTTTTTTTGTTAGTATTAAAATGTCTTGATGTAATTTAACAAAGAGTAGACATTTTGAATATAATAAATAATTGGATAAGAGTATTGGTTTTTTAACCTTAGTAACATTGAAATAAATGTAAATGACATTCAAAAAAACATGACATGCTTTTACCTGTTGTGAAGAACCAGTTTAACATTTCATTTGATATCATGATTCCAGCAACAATGCATATGGTTTCTTAATACAAGCATACTTGTGAGTCACATTATGAAAACTTGCTCACTATTGATAGTATTCATTTTAGAGCATTTGTCTCATACTAAGGACATAAGATACTACTTGATGTTGATTAATCTCTTTAGACATAGTAAAATTTAGACAAAGATTTGCTGCTCTACTTCATAGTGATCATGCAGATGAACTCAAGGTTGTGTGACATAAAGGACTACATGAGTGACATGCAGAGAAGATATGTGATATTCACAAGCTATATTGCATACACTGAGATTTGGTACACAAAGCCTAAACTTGCTAACAGAAGCTGATAGAAAAATTTGAAACTTACTTTCCTGAAACTTATTGTAAGATTGAGTGAATATTCCCTTCATCATCATTGTTACTGAATAGCATTCGATTATAAAGTCTGTATTGATCAACTTTACCAGGTCGTCATATTATATATATTTTTAATATGAAACAAAATGTAAGAAAGTGTACTTGTTGAAATGACAAATGATTTTTATTGACAAGCAAGAGCAAGGTAAATTAGTATAATAACAATAATATGTATATTATTATTATTACTGTAATAAAGTTATAAAATCAAAAATTAGACCAAACCATAAAAATTCATTCTGGTAACTCAGCTGACTTTGATGTTTTTTTCTGATTCTAAAGCATTTAAAATGTATTAGGTAGCATTGTTCCATTTAATAATGGTCTTAAACAAAATAGAGATATCTTGAGACTTTTATTTGTTACATGACAAAAATCATGTCTTAACAATTTTTTATTGTAAAATTGTTTTCATAAAAAGAGATCTGTCTTTAATGGTTCCCTAGTGGCACAGCGGTATGTCTATGGACTTACATTGCTAGAAACCAGGTTTGATACCTGTGGTGGCCAGAGCACAGATAGCACTCTGTATAGCTTTTTGCTTAATAACAAACAAGCAACAACTGTCTTTAATGTGAACAGTATTGATGTGAAAATTATTGGGAACTGTGTAAATATAAGTTGACATGATGATGTTCAGAAAGCAACAAAAGATTGTCACCAGAAAAAAATTATTAATTCTTAATATTCCATTTTTTTCACAGTTTGATAAAAAGCAAAAACCGAAATTGTTAGATATTTATGACCAGTGAAACAAAAAGTGTGTGTGTGTAAATCTGTTGAATATATATTACATTTGTTGTATGAAATCATAGTATTATTAACAAATATAACTTTATCTTAAAACTTTAAGTAGAAGTTTATAGCATCATAATTTGATTGTAATTGATAAATAAATACATAATTATTAATTGTTTTGTATACATTTCTTTCAGAATCAACAAGTGACATTATTGAAGGCTTTTATCGTGGAAGAAAATCTAAAATAATATATGGTGTCTTCACCACCCCAGTGTAAGTGGAATTATTTCATTTAAGGTATTTGTTTAATCTGTTTTTTTATGCTATATTTTTGTAACTTTAATCTATTTCTTACAAAAAGCACTGCCCGGCATGGCCAGGTGGATAAGG